TTTGTATTTCTCTAAATTACCGTTATATGGGATGTGGGCGTGGTTATCAACGGATTTTTTTTAAATTTTCAATACCAACCTACCTTGGTATACGGGAAACCTACATACCAAATTTCATTGAGATATCTAAATTTTTGCTCGAGTTATAGTGTACACGGACGGACGGACGGACAGACGGACAAACGGACGGACAGACAGACATGGCTTAATCGATTTATTTGTTCATCCTGATCATTTATGTATACATTGGTCTATATCTATCTCGATTCGTTTTGGCTGTTACAAACAACTGTTATGTGAACAAAATTAATATACCCTTGTGCACAAGTGCGCTCGGGTATAAAAAAATTGTTGATTTTGCCTCTGTTGCGCTAATAAGACCCTGCATATCAGAATAAACATTATTCGAATAAATTGTTATTTAGATAATTATTCCAATAAAATTTTATCCATAATATAATTATTCGCAAATAATATATTCACGAATGANTTGTTGATTTTGCCTCTGTTGCGCTAATAAGACCCTGCATATCAGAATAAACATTATTCGAATAAATTGTTATTTAGATAATTATTCCAATAAAATTTTATCCATAATATAATTATTCGCAAATAATATATTCACGAATGAATTCGTGAATAAATTGCTTATGAATAAATTATTCGTGATTTTATTCGTTATTTAAAATAATTTTTAAAAATTGATTTATAACACACTGAGCAATGTTTTACTTTTATTTCTATCGTCAAGGATTGTGAGTTAGTTGAATTCGATTTACTATTTTATCAAGATCTTTGGTTTTGGTCAATGCAAGAATAGCGCTGAAAAACAAATATGGGTAAGGTAAACCGATGCTCTTATTTTCACCTGTGAGATCTTTTCTAAGCGCGCGTAACCTTCTTCTTTGATTTTGCAACTACAACATTGGTCCGAGGCGTCAACCACTAGTCTTATGTCATGTAAGCCAACAAAAGTCCATATAAGGAAGCTGAAGAGCGCAGTCAAGGCGTATTCAATAAGGTGGTACCGGTACGACAATAACAAAATGTAATGTATTTGGTTTTTGCTTTTGCGGCGAGGATGTGAAAGAGAACAGAAAACAATGAACAATCAAGTGCTCCAACCAATCAACAGCAGCCATTTGACATATGAAGCCGGCGAAGAGGCGAAGAAAAATAAAAGGGTACTGCTGTCACCTATTGAATACACCTTGAGCATAGTTTTCTATTATAGGAGAGCCAAAAATCCTCGATGTTTCACAGGACGAAAAGTTTTCCCGCGCGTTCAAATTTGGCCATTGATAAACCAACCGTGATCTTTCTTGGAAGGATGTGGTCGAAACTTTCCTAGCTAATTCGGCACTTTTAAAATATCCAAGAGCTGGTTTCCTTGAATCTTACTGCTGCAGCAATGGCCGTCCGAGCAATTTCATCAAGCGGAGGTAGCTGCAAGGTCGCATTTCGGGTGTATGACGACGTGAGACATCGTTAATTCGTATAATATAACAACTAGGAACAAAGTAGTCCAGACATATGGGGGTTTATAAATATTTCGACTGCAGGACCATTATGAATTGCAACCTGATTGTACAATAAATACGCATTTTCTAATTAACTAAACTGCAGCGCCACCTAGCGGGTCCATTTTCCGCATAAGTATTTTTCATCATGCAGGTAGAACACATTTTGAATTTAGACGAAATCGGTTCATAAATACGGCTTTTATAAATAACTCGGCTTCATCGCCACCAACGATTTTTCTAGTAGANTGCAAGGTCGCATTTCGGGTGTATGACGACGTGAGACATCGTTAATTCGTGTAATATAAAAACTAGGAACAAAGTAGGCCAGACGTATGGGGGTTTATAAATATTTCGACTGCAGGACCATTATGAATTGCAACCTGATTGTACAATAAATACGGATTTTCTAATTAACTCAACTGCAGCGCCACCCAGCGGGTCCATTTTCCGCATAAGTATTTTTCATCATGCAGGTAGAACACATTTTGAATTTAGACGAAATCGGTTCATAAATACGGTTTTTATAAATAACTCGGCTTCATCGCCACCAACGAGTTTTCTAGTAGCCTTTAATAGGACTTTAAGCGCAGGGAATAACTCAGAGAATTTTACTTAAATCTATTCAGGGGTTCGAGTTAATTCCGAACAACGAAAATGTCTATCATTTTATACATAAGTATATGTATATATCTATATACATAGATTACTTGTTGTATTATTATTTTATTCGTTATTCGAATAATTAATGAATATAATAATTATTCGAATAACGAATAAAATAATTTATCCATCATTCGAATAATTTTTATAATAATCAAAGTTATTCAGCTTTAATATGAGTTTTATTTTCCCCGAACCGGTTCACTATTCACTTTTGGTTTCCATTCACCCGAAAATTTTGATTCCGCCCATAGTAAATACATGGAAACCAAAAGAGAAAAGTGAACCGGTTCGGGGAAAATTAAACTCATGATAAGGCAGATTTATTATTCACGAATAACGAGAAAAATAGTTTATTCGCTTAATATAATTTAAGTTATTTGTCATTTAAATAAATTTTGCCCAACTCTACTTAACTGGCCTACGCTGCGCATAAAAAAAATCGGTTCTCCTTCCCAAAGCGAATCATAAAATTTAGTTTATTTTATCACTCACGCTGAAGAAATTTGCCCCAGTTCAGGGTCATCGTATTATGCTGAAACCTACTGTTGCTGAATTTGCTGACGGTGGGAACAATGATAGATTCCTTGCCCACCCTGGCATATAGAATAGCTCTTTGGTCGCCTCGTCTTTCTCTTCCGTCGGGGCTTGTAGTATTGTGGTGAGAAACTCAATCACCGGGGTGAAAGAACACCTATAACCACTCTCGGAGCTCAATCATCACCTATTACAGACTCTGAGCTTCGATTGCCACGAACGACCTGAGCTACTCAGACCCAATTACGGTCAGGATATTGTGGCCGCCTTAACAGCTACCTATCCAGACTCGATCCCGATATCCTCAATGGGTGTCCGACATGTGGAGACTCCATCCACGAAACCAAACATCTCTTCACATGCCAGCTCAATTAAATTCAGTTAACATCCCTCCGTTAGCTGAGCTTGACAACCACGATTGATAGACAAACCGACCCAGGCGGGGCTAGATAGTGCCGCTACAACAACAACAACAGCACTCGGCAACGGAGTTGCTCTCCTATCACAAAACCGACGCCGACTTTGTACTACTTTATTACATACATGGCAGCTGCAGTAGACGTCACAATGTCCATTGGATTTTTCGAATGGCAATGGTATCAGCCTTAGTCTTCTCGAGGACACCAACTAGCCGGGCAGAGGCACCATCCCCATTAATGGTCCGAAAATTTCAGGTGCATGCCCTCGCAGCGTAGTCCTTGGTACCTTCGCCGTGGTCCTCATCAAAAGAAGGCAGTCTCAACCGAGGGTGCCTTTTCACATTTGTTTACTTCCAAATGGGTGTTCGATTGCCAACCAGAGGATATTTGGTGTAAACACCGGTAGTCGTAACTCTAAATTGTTTGCTGTAAAACGCGATAGTTGGAGATCCTTTCAACGCACTCCATGTCAGAAAATATATAAATTTTTATGATTCGTTAGAGGAGAAGCAATTTTTTTTCCATGGTGAGGCATTCTAATGTTCATATTAATGTTTGCATGTATGCATATTGTCTATTCACCTTCGCATTTGGGTTTTGTGTAAAATCAGCAATACCGCCACCTCCAACACCAGCCCCAGTACTCTGATTCGATGGGCGCGCATGCGAAACCAGCTGTAATATACACGGCGTAACCTTAGCCCAAAATTCAAATAGTACACCCATCGTATTGCCCTCCGCATTGCTGGCGGTACGCGCGATATGCTCCAAATACACGGTCCACAATTGACACAGCGTGAAGGCGTGAAAAAGTGATGACATATGGAGCACCGAAGTCTTCGATTGCTCAGCAAAGCCAGCGAAAATAACTTGAATATGATCGGCAATGTGGCAAGAGGACTCCTGTGAGACTGGCATGGCAATGGGCGCTGCGGCGCTGGGCTGTTGATGATGATGCTGATAGTGTACTGCGGCTGGTGGCACAGTCGGTGGCACCTGCTGTGGCGGCATGGGTGTGGTATGATGTTCGTGGCGGCGTTGAGTCAGCGCTAGGTGTGTGAGCGAGCCAAGCAACAGCCACGAGAGTAGGCGCATATGGCCAACGCATTCGGTGAACTCTTTAGGACTGCAGAGTAGAGGGATAGTGTTGTGAGCTACATATGTAGATTTATACAAATATATGCCAACTTTGACTTACCCCTGCTGCAGCGATGAGGGCGCATTATTGAGCCAAGGCAGATAACGCGAGCTGCTTTTGTTGTCGCGTGTATTGCCGCGCGACATCTCCAGTGCCAGATATTGTGCAACTGCGCCCTTCAATACGCCACCCAGCGTATCTTCGCCTAGGCCGTTTTGGACGTGTCCATTTTTGAAGTTCTAGTGGGAGTGGCATTTTTGAAATAGTATTTTATGATAACTTACATAGATATGTATGTACGTCGTTTTTTGAACTCACTTTGATTTTGCTCAGCGTATGAAAGTCCGCCAGAAAATCAATTACATCATTTACATACTGTCGCATGCAATCTGCCGCATTAGTGTTCAACGGTGGTGCGGTCTCCGGCAATCCAGCTAGTGTGCCAGGCGGCAGCGTACCACCAGCATCGTGCAACACGAACCCAATGATCATCAGCAAATTATTATCGGGAATGTTAGTTTTGAATTTCAAGGCTTGCACAAATTCGAAAATCAATTGTCGACAAAGTAGCATTTTGTCGCGATCCTTCGAAAACGAACGCATATTCAACGTACAGAGCTCGTATATGGTATTGTATTCCAAATTTGTATTCTGCACGCAAAAGCCAATTATTTTTGAGTAGGGATCCAGCAGTGTCTTTGGCACAATGTTCAGCTTCAGTGTGGCCACCATTATGTCGAGCAAATGTTCTGGATTGCCCAGATTTGGTAGCAATACAATGACTTGCCGCAGCAGCGATTCCATCGCTTGCATGGCCTGCTGCCATACGCCCGGTCCAGTGGTCAGCTCTGTCGGCACACAGTGCAAATACTCGGCCATGTTGCGGAAGATTACTGGCAGCTGCTCGATCGGTAGCGATTTTTTGGATTGCAACGATTCGCATACCATATAAATAGGATGTGTGGCGTTGAGCTCCTGGAAGTCCTGCAGTGCGCGAGCAATGCTGCGGAATGAGTTGTGACGCACTTTCACTGGGGGGTTGAGAAGAGTGTGGGGGTTGGTGAAAGTAAATGTTATTTAAAATTTTACTTACTTTTTACTTGCGTTTGGAAGATTTGCAGGAAGATGCCGTTGGGCGCCAATTGATGTAGCACGCAACGTATGAATTGTAGGGACACAGCTTGTGCGCTGCAAACCAGTGCTGGTCCATTCTCGCCCTGCCAGGAGTGTGTGGATGTTAAGCAGATTCTGTGGAAGAAAATAATAAAATGAGCCGTTTATTTTGAAAGTGGAATAAGTCACTGCAAACCTCTTGTACTTAAATGACTGGTTACTTGTATCTGGACGCGTCGGTTATTTGTTCATCTTCATCAACCAAAGGTAAAAGGTCATTAGTTATGATGATAGGAAGATTTACACATGCATTTGGTTACAAGTAACCGGTCATTTAAGTACGAGAANCTGCAAACCTCTTGTACTTAAATGACTGGTTACTTGTATCTGGACGCGTCCGTTATTTGTTCATCTTCATCAACCAAAGGTAAAAGGTCATTAGTTATGATGATAGAAAGATTTACACATGCATTTGGTTACAAGTAACCGGTCATTTAAGTACGAGAAGTATGAAGTGACTTACTTATGTCCTTTCAAAATAAACGGCTCAAATGTAACTACTCAACAAGGATGGAAATGGATAACTGGTGAAAGTCAATTTAAATGCTCAACAAGCTGGGTACCAATAGTTTTCTAATGCTAGACTCCCTCAGTAAAGTCCCAAAAACTTCAATGACTTCTTTCATCATTTCTACAATGTAAAAGCCTGGGTGAGTGCTCACACTACTGAAAACTGTGTTAGACGGACAAAGAGGAATATTAACGTCACATATTCAACTTTACTGACCGGTACTCCACGCATCAACTAAGNACCAATAGTTTTCTAATGCTAGACTCCCTCAGTAAAGTCCCAAAAACTTCCATGACTTCTTTCATCATTTCTACAATGTAAAAGCCTGGGTGAGTGCTCACACTACTGAAAACTGTGATAGACGGACAAAGAGGAATATTAACGTCACATATTCAACTTTACTGACCGGTACTCCACGCATCAACTAAATCCAGAGTAGAATCAACATGACTTCCCTAAAGCGCACATCGTAATCGTAATCACCCCTTCTACAAAACTAACCTATTAGCATTAGATCTATAGAAGTGTTTCGATTACAGTATCCATAGCCATATTACGGTACTGAAATACATCTAAGAAGCGTCAGTAATATTCCCAGATCAAATCTTATCTTAAATCTTAGTGTCCTTTTCGCACTTATGCTTAATTTCCATCTCTCACAACTTCTACAACTACCAAAAGGAGCCTTCCTTGTCTTCTACACTAACAATTGTTCGGTAAATGCGAGCGGCAATGGAATTGATAAACTGCTCTAGTTTTCTTTGTGGACATCATAGAAAGTATTTGAACAGACACTTGCTGGAAACAGACACACATCCTACACTCTCGGACGAACTTCAGGCTTACATTGCACAACCACTGGGCGGGACTCGAAGTGGCTCAGACATGCCATAAGCGACATTTACCAACTGGCATCCCTAAATTGGCTCGTAAAGCGCCAAAGAACTGTCAAAAGTCATCATGCCCATGCAAAACGTATGCAGCATCCTACAATAACGCGGCGCTGGCGCCGAGCCAATGGAATTTTCATTTTTGACAGGGCGTTACGAATTGAAGTTCGTTGCATCGGAGAGAAAGAGAAAGGACAAAAAGTAAAAGAGGAAACGAAAATTAAAACGATAGGAAATGAGAAAACGTCAAAACTTACACTGCGTTGATTTGGGTATAGCTCGCGCTGGCACTCGTTGGCATTGGAAAACTCAACGCTTGGCGCTCCAATTTTGGGGACGCCAGCAAGAGACAATTACCACCATTACAAATTATCACGCCCTTAATGCCGTCATCGGAGTTCAAAAACCACCCACACGAGTACCAGTCACCTCTTCACTTGATCCCTTAAACCTACCCAGCTAACACCCCTATCCCTTTGGTCTGACCCGGTACACTTTTCCTAGTCGTACTATTAGGCGAGCTTGATAGCAACGTTTGATTGACTAGCCGAATTATGCAGGGCTTAGTAGTGTCGCTATAACAACAACAGGACCTAGTACTATACCATCCTGTAGGACAAAGCCCTCCACAATTTCTGACCTAAGCTTGTCTGCCCGGTAGACGCTTTCTAGGTCCGATAGGACAACCTCACATTGAATGGCTCAGTACAAATATCTGCATCTGCTTTCGCGTTTCATTTTTGATTTGTCTGCCCTCCAAGCGCGTGGCATTCCACGAACTTAGTCACGGTGTTTTGGAAATTTCATTCGGCGTTTTTATGTAGCGATAGTATGGGTCGGGATATAACAATGTAAAGTGTAAAATCCTTGGCTTCAATTACCAACTGTTACCTAGCATTGTTTTAGCTGAAAAGCGGACCACTGACGCATTCCTCGCTCCTCAAAGCTCCAGTCAACGTTCGCCTTGTGAAGGATCAACTTATATACTCTCGCATTTAGGTTTAGTAAAATAAACAGTGTTTTAATTTTTGGAAGAGTCAGATTTCTGCTCATTCACATTGAGAGAACAATTTATGGAATGACGCTCATAACCTAAGGAAATCATCTGGATACAATTATGGCTGCATCGTCGGCATATTTATTCAGGTACAGAAGCCATAATATTTTGCTTTGAGAACCAAATTCAGCGTTACTCTGCTCTTTAACAAAGATACGATCCGCAACTGGGTGCCGCACTCTGGCCCTTTTTTTGTAAGCGCCTCAAGTATACATTCTATATTTACATACACTATTGTGCACTCTTAATATCTTTAAGGGTAGCCATGGTAAACCGTTTGTAAAAGAGCAAACTCTACTTCGTGCATATCTCCTGTCGGTGCAGATCTAAAAGTCTCCCAAACGTTTTGAAGACGAAAGACATAGGCTTATTGGTCTCAAAGCCTTAGCATTGTCGTGCCCACTTCAGTAGCTTTGAAATGTATGATTAGCAACATTATGTTCATAAATAATTTGAAGGTGAACGAATTTAAAATTACAATTTTTTTTTCAAGACGCTCAAAAGGTCCTCTGAAAAGGGTAGTGGTACATTTAGAGCAGTGGGCCTTGTGCACTGATTACACGCATTCTGGAGGTTGGACGTCCTCCACACACCGACCGACCTGTCGCATGAACCATATAACTACTGTGACTGCCCGTCTGACTCCTTCCAATTTTCGATGAATTTGTACAATTCTTTCCTGGCTTTATATGTACAAGTAGTTCATTCAGATATCCTTATGCTGGTCAACTACATATGAAGCAAAGTATAATTCCGGTAAAGGCTAGGAAGTAAAATTGATTGATCCTACTTAAACTGACAATGAAACCAAACTGCTCAAGTTGTAAAATTAGGCTCAAGCGAAATGGAGGGTGTGGATGAAGCGTCAAACAGCACATATGTAGGTGATCCTGTAGGCTTAGCCACGCCCCCATCAGTGTGACCCTGTTTCCACCGAGCACTATGGATCTGGACCCTAGGCTGTCGATTCTACCCTGCCCCCCCTAATCAAGGGTGTTATGCGTTACCGTGCCCTGAATCGCTGTACGGGTAAAAATGCCGCCAACGGATACAGTATTAATAATGTCGAAAACCCGTTTGCTATCGCGGTTCCACGGAGGCCTCATCGGCCAAACTCTTCGGGCACATTTAAAGTCCTTTCAGGAGCAGAACGAGCGCATTCAGTGGGCCAAGGGTGTCCTTGCCAAAAGCTGGAATTGGGCAATGAGGTCAAAGAGGCACGGGTCGGTGGACAACACCACTGAAGGGGAACCTAAAAAACTCAGGTCTTAAAATTCTTCCGGCCCAACCAACGCTCTACGGGCATTTAGGGCCTTCAACAAGCTTTGACAATTCCTTCATTCTGTTTACTTAGCCTGTCCCCGACGAAATGGTTTAAAGTTAGCTATACTGCTAAATTTTACCTTGATGTGAGCGTTAATATCTCTGGTAGAAATGGTGCTGCCATTGCCGGTTCACGATGTATGAATGTGCCGAGTATGACAATTAATATGCCAATATCTTCATCAGTATATTCCTCGATGAGGGCACCACAATCAGTGCAACGATCACAAATTGTATAATCACCAACTCGGCGTGTACTCTACAAAAGAAGATATGCGCAAGTTAAAGAGTAACTAAATTCTTAAAAAAAAGTTATCGACTCACCACACGATTCGGTCTGCGCTGCTGCACTACTATGTCCATTACCGTTCTCATTACTTTCTTCCGCATCGTCGTCCAGCTCTTCTGGCGGCTGATAAGGTGGTGGCGGCCATGCACCAGCAAAACGTGAGCGTATGTCTGGTATAGCGCTTGCATCGACATTGAAGGGTGCCAATTTCTGACGTGGACGTTTTGGTGGCTCTGGTTTACCCGCTGCATGCATTCCACCCGCACTTGTAGCAGCCGCAACGCTAATGGCGGGTTTAACTTCCTGTGTGACGCTCCTTAATATCGAAGAGTGTAGATCTTGTTGTCCTGCGCCGCTTGCATTTGGTGGCGATTCGAGTGCCACCTGTTTAATGAGGCGACGTGGTGATGTGGTACGACTGCTGGGCGTCACATCATCCTTGGTGCTCTCAGACACATCGAGGCTGTCCTGTTTGAGGTGACTGATGTCTGGTATATGAGACCCTCGCGCAAGCGATCAACCAAGCCACCAACAGACTCGTGTGTGCCAATCGGTAATAAACGTTCTGGTGTGGGTATTTCGAGTGCGGCTATACTTTTCGATGCAGCAGCTTGGCGGCGTCCATCTCATCGACTGGATTAGGCATGACACTCATTTTGGAGAGTGGCGAATCGGGGGAAGCGTATGCTTTATCGGAGCGTTTTAGCGATTTTCCCGTGGGTTTCTTGTGATTTGCGCTGAGACGCGAGTCATCGGTGCCTGTAGATGAAGAAGAAGTGCCAGCACTGCATTCCACGATGGTCTTGTGGCGACCAATTGGCTTCTTGGAAGTAGCAGCCTGATGCTGCTGCTGTTGTTGCTGCAATTGTGTTTGTTGTGAAGTGCATGGCTGTCTGTTGTTGTTGTTGTGTTTCGCTTGTCTGAGCTCTCAGTGCTGCTATTGGTCGATCGATTACCATTGCTGGATGTTAGCGACTTCGAGTTACTATCGCTAGACATGGTTTGTATATCTTGCAGGGCGCCCAAAGCTTTCAAATGATTCGTGGCAATCGCGGCAAACATTTTCGATGTCGAGGCGGCTGCAGTCTCAAGTGACTTATTGCGCACTGTGATGGCGCGATGCACATCAACGGGTGGACTGACAATAGCCGTCTCGGCAGCGGTATCGGGGCCCACTAGCGGAGTAACGATCATGCGTACGCCCTCTTGTAAACTATGACGCGCATGCGTGGTAACGACTGTGGTGCTAACGGCTTCTTGTGCACCCGATGTTCTAATTTTTGTTGTGTAAGTGTCGCCGGTTTTGGTAGTAATCATGGACTTGTGATGTGGCTTCATGGTTTTCTAGTCGTACAAATAATGAATCAATTTCAACATTTTTCCCGTACAGTCTACTTACCTCTTCATACTCGATTGCACGCGGGCCGCGTGCTCTCTGCATATCTGCCTTACCAAGCGGTGTTTCTTCGAAGTGCACGGTATCATCAAATGAACCCTGCTGAATGAAACAATTGCTACTTTTCTTTGCGCTGTTTGAAAAAAAAAAACGAATTCTACTTACCGGCGCGCTGCTGCCATGCAAAGTGCTATCTGACAAATCACTTTCAGGTATCGCAACCAGTTCCGATTCCGTTTCATCGGCCTCTAGGCTGGAGTCATTATACTTGCGGAATGCGTGCTGCAGTTTCGGTGTAAAAGCCACATTCTGTCCCTTGCTCTTAGAGGCTGCGCTTGTGCCCTCTGAGGGAAACATTGGACTGGCCGGTGGACTGGGATCCTTATCATCGGGATCTGTGCCCAGCGAGGGTTGACTAACGTCGCGCGAACGCGATGTGCCTTGTATGTCCAATATGGTAGTAGTCGGTATGCGACGACATTGATGGAAATGGTTGCGCAAACTGTTCATAACCATGCGCATAGCCGAAATGACATAGGCGCTATGCGGAGGCTGGGTATATGAATACTTGTAGAGCACCACAAGAATGGTAAGCATCCAATTACGACGTGGATATTGTTCCAAATACCAAAGCGAGTAGTTGAACACCAAATTTTGGTAGCAATCGGCAGCCGTGTTACTAGGATTAGGCGCATACAATATGATCTGCATAACCGAGGGAAGTATAAGACCGCCGATCAAGTGATTTTGATCCAATACTTGTGGTAGATTAGCAAGAAAAGCATTGAAAACTGCCGAAGCGCTGAAAGAATGTGGGCGAAAGAAGAAAAACACATATAAATAAGTTTAGTTCTAATTCTTACACGGTAAGACCTACCGTAGATTCTCCGGTGTTGTGTGGAAAGTCTTGTCGATCTGATTGTGACCCAGAAGCAAAAATAAATGTTTGAGCACAATATTTTGCGTCTTGGAGATGGGTTTATCTTCCGAGGGGAATGCCTGATCGGTGCGTGACATAAACTGCATAAGCAAGAAAACCAGCAGATGTATGGTTTCACGATCGGACTCCTCCAGCTCGGTAATGCGGCTCAGCAGGCCGATAAGGTTGTCATCATTAATGCCGCCTAGCGAGTGAATATGACCGTCTGTTTGGTGGTGAAGCGAAAATTTGTGTTAATATACTTAATAGCTTTCAGATGCTTGAAAAAAGGATGAAGCTCAAAATGCAGTAGTCACGCTTTTTAGCTTCATCTTTAAGCTTTGAGATATGCATACATATTTGTTTTTGCAACACTTTTTTTCATATTACAACACAACATCGAAGTTTGAGTTCTATGCATAAGTATTTATGTACAGTTATTTATTACAATGTACTATATTTATTGTTTTTGAATAGGGTACGATTATTATAGGCAAGCTTCAAAAAACTACATTTATAAAATACATACATACCAGTGTAGAAGTATACACACATGTTTGGCAATCTTGGGAAAAGGGAAGCGGACAAGTAGTTAAACATTTATCCAAAATTAATGGCAGTAAAACTTTCCTAACTCGAAACGCTGTGAGAGCAGCTAGCTTAGAAATGTTCCGAGTGAGACAAGTTTGACGATCTATTCTCACTGCAAGTACTTAGTAAGAACTTAGTTGTAATACCCTAAAACAGCTCTACTGATGAG